GATGTCAGAGATGAGTTAGCGCAGTAGAGGTAAAAGAAAAGCATTTTAAAATGAGGAAATAGCATGTTCCAGAGCCTGCAGGGCCTTTCCAAAACCTGGAGGATTTTGAGGGTGCCTCAGTGGGGAAACGGGGAGATGTTGGGTAAATGCACTGGCTAATGGTGTTTTTTTTGGGGGGGGTAGAACTTGAGTGGTGACAGGGGAATGGAGTTAGAAGAAAGAAAAATTCTTATGTCACTAGTTCTTATATGTTCTGTGTTTGTGCTAGAATAGCAGAATATCAGAAATTTAGTTAACATTTCAGCAAAATTAAGTCCTTCCCATCCTTTGTGGATCTTGCAGTCCTAATATAGGTTTGTCTGCCCCTTGCTCTGGATGTCTGCAACAGCAACATAAGCAAGTCCTCTCTTGTGTGAGTCCACAGAGGCCATTCTTTGGATTCCAGAAGCTTGCAACCACTCAGGAAGGCAGGACATACTTGAAACTTAGACCCAGCACTCATGGAGATCAGTGTTTGTTCCTCTTCAAAAATCCCTCTAAGCTTCTAGCACAGTGTTTTCCACATTGCAGGGATCATAAAGTAATTGTCGACTAAAGGAGCAGACACATCATACAGTGAGGGCTTATAATTTTCCAAATTAATCATCATTGGAGTTGGGGGAGAGGGAAGGCTCCCGGGAGCCTAGGGTTGCAGAGAAAGTTCTATGAAGATGATACATCTTGAACTAGGTCTTGGAAGCTAATTGGCCTTTGTGTTTGTGGTTAGGAGTTGGGGGGTGAGAGAGCATTGCAGGGTTGCAGGGAGAGGTCATTCCACATGCAGAGTAGGAAGCCTTTCTGAGCCCCACATCTCTGCATGCTGGTCAGGAGTGGGGGAAAGACACACCAACCTCGACAGAGGGTTTGGGAATAGGGGATAGATCAGGATGGATTGTGTGGGGTAAATTGTCAGAGAATAGATTTTCAGGATGAGCACTTAGAATTTGCTCCAATATGCCATTACTAGGGTTGTAAGCATATGGTTGGAAATAAGGAATGAAGGGAGAGTTTGTGGAAATCTAGTCTGGCAAGGCCCTGTTGGTCCCCCCCTCCTTCCCAGCTTGTCTGAGCTAGATGATGTTCCATGCTTAACTTCAGGAATTACCTTCCTCTAGAAATCCTTTCTTCTAATCCTGCCCCTTGTGCTGACAGTCTGGTGGCTCCTGGCTGCTGGATGAAAAAAACAAAATGCATTTAAATGAAAAGTACTGGTCATGGCCTTCAAGGCTTCAAGCTAATCTCAGCATTTATTTATCCGTATCTTACATACCGTGATTGCCACTATTTATATCTATCTGTGTGTCTATCTTGTTAATAAACTTAAGGCTGTCATCTGTCCTTATCTCCTCAAGATTAACCCACCCATTTCTGCTAGCCAAGTGAAGTCTCCTCCTCAACCTTGGTTTAAGATTCATTTCCGCTATGAAATCTTTTTGGCCTTGGACCGACCACATTAAATCTCTCTGAACTTCAGGAGCCTCTTCTGCAAAATGGCATAAGCATTCCTCACCTCTTGGAGTTGATGTGAGGACTGAATGCGAAGCTGCCTAAAGCATGGTTGCTTGTATAGAGCAGAAGGAGCCAGGTGGCCCCCTCTAGCTAGCACCTGCCGATAGGAGCCTGCAGGACCCTCTCACTGGGGCATGGCACTCTTCACGGAGGATGGAGGGGTATGCATGCCTTGGGTGTGCCAGCATCAGACCCTCAAATGAAATACGGGACTGAATATGGAACAGGAATGTACAGATGTGGAATATGAGAACTGTAAGGAAAACACACAGTCGGAGGTCAGAAATCGGAGCAACACAGTCTCCTGGCAGGGAGCACGAGGAAAGTTTTCACTGAAAAGGTGACATTTGCTGAAAAGCAGAGATGATTATGAGAGTTCCTTAAAAGTAATGACTTGGTGGTTAGGGCCTGGTTCAGTGCCAGGAGCAGAGTGGGTGCTTAATAAATATTTGTCAGATGAATGGTATTACCTCTACAATGCATTTATTACTTGCACTCAACTTCTGTAACTGATATAAAGGTAAAATTATTTAAATGAGAAACCTCTACTTGTCATCCAAGGAACAGAAATGAATTGTCAAGTGGTATTGAAGATTAGCAAAGGCTATTGAGGGCAAGGTGTTAAATCACTTCCGTGAGCCTGAATCGCCAGTGGTGTAACTGTGCCAAGGTGACATGCCATCTGGGTGTACAGGAGGTCATCTAGATGTTTTACCTGTAGAACTAGGTGGAACAGAGACAAAAAGTGCAGACCCAAGTGTGTATATATGTCAGTCTGTCTGGTGCTGTTTGCTCAGTACCACTGGGAGAACATTGGGACATTTCATTTATTACGGGAGATCATTTTTACCTCCAATAAATGTATTCATTATTTAAATTCTAGAAAATCCCCATATATCTGGAACCTTTTAAGGGAAAGAAAGCTCTGTAAAGTGCAGATAAATGACACTATAAATGTTTTAATGTCTTTGTTTCTTCTTCCTTCTCTCTGCCTGTTTATACCATAATATTAATAAATGCAGCATTTTAATGAGCTTTGACGGAATCACCTTCAGAGAGTTGGTGCAGTATGTTCCTTGGAGACGCATAACTGAAGTTCCCGGGTTCTGGAAGGAAGTCTGTTCCTCATTAGCTGAGATAGCTAAGAGTGTGCTGGCTCAAGAGAGAGGGGGCCACAGCTCAAGCCCACCTGTGCATGCACAGGACCGGCCGCTCTCGGCCCTGCTGTGGAGTAACCCCAGGGCTTTCATTAAAAATGTCAGATGGTTTCCCTGGAGTGAGTGCTGATGGCATGTCATGTTGGTGTCTCTGGAGGAGTAGCCCTGACACCTACTAACAGTCTGACAAATGGTTAAGTAGCTGTTTCAGCCGGGATTGAGTGAGCCAGCGTCCTCTGCCTGAGCATGAGGAGGAGAGCACGTGTTCTCTTCCCTCTCCCAGTTGTTAAAGAGGCAAATCTGCTCTCCTCCATCCGCAGCTCCTCCCCACCCAAAACCTAACCCCCTTGCCCTGCAAAATACACTCCCAGAGTAAAACTTACTTGCTTTAAGTAAGCAAGACTTTTTTTTTTGTGAGATGCAGATGGATTTTTTTTGGGTGGGTTTGATGGTGGCTGCCCAACATCTGAAACCCCTTGTACATTTGGGGAGGTTCCCGTTGCATGTTTCGGAGAAGAGGTCAGAGCCTCCTTGAGTGTGTGGACAGAAGGTGAAAAGCTAGCACTTCTTTTCTGAGCACTGGCATTTAGGGCCTGGGTACTTGGCGAGGCGGGAGCAGTCAGATGCCCTCTTGGAGGCCTTTACATCTATTATCAAGTGCAGCAAAGAATCAGGAGCGGACAATTCATATTAGAGGCAGCCACATCCAGGGGCCTGTGACACGAGTACCCTGTGAGGCTAGTTTTCCTGGGAAGCACAGGCCAGACTTTTCCCGGGGAGAGTGACTGAGGTTCTTGTGCCTGAGTATTTCTAACCTTTTGGTTTCTAATAATTTTCAAGCCTGATTTTCCAATCTTTGCAATGCTTCTGAGAGTTCTCTGATACTATTTTAATAAATTCCTCCCCCACTAAATTGAGACAGGGACCATTTCCATGTTTATAATTGAAAACCCCAACTCATGCATTTATGTCCATGACTTGGTCATTGTCTCCTGGCCACTGAGATCATAGCATTGGCTTAAAAGCTTTGGCCAGGCATCTATGTGTCTAGAACACTAGTCAGTTGAACAGAATCTCCTGTTTAATACCCTTAATCATGCATCTGTTTTTCCTCTTCTTCTTTTTTTTGAAATAGAATCTTCATGCAGTCTCCTGCATGTGTCAGTCTGTCTATTGATATGGGGTACCTCGGAGCTCCTGGTTGTTAAGTTAATTAGATGGAGGTTCAGTGGCCTGAATGGTAGGCCAGTAGGTCAGAAAGCCTGAGTACTCTCAGCATTAGACCCTGGCCTGCGATTCCTTGGCCATTTGTTGGCGGAGCATCTGTCCTCATGCCCCCAATTAATTTAGTACGCACCGCTTTGTAAAGTGTCCACGTGCCGCAGAGGCAGGCAGTGTGTTCATGTTGTTTGGACATTATAGAGCCATCCATTCTGTCCCTGACAGTTCCAATTCTAGATCCCACTGTCAAACCCAACAAAAGGGGAGAGCTTTTTTTTTTTTTTTTTTTTTGCGGTAACTTTCTGGGTCCAGCTTTGGATTTGGGATTTTCTAACCTTTTTTTTTTCTTTTTTCTTTTGGAGGATGTGTGAGGTGGGGTGGAAAAAGAAGAGGTGAGATGAGAGAAGTAAGGGTTAAGCTTCATTTTTTTTTTTTTTAAGATAAAAACGTTGAACTTGCTTTGTGGAATTCTACTTTTGCATGTTTATGAGCAGCAAAAAGGTAGCGTCTGTATTCTCGTAATGTACTGAATATGTAAGATCCTACGTGTTTGTGGTCACTCCCTGCAGAGTGGTTTTAACTCCTAAGTAGCCGTGTTCATAGTTTTCCTCCCTTCTCTCACGACCCCGAGGAAGCCTCTAGGTTAACATAGACTTCCAGCAATAGCTGAGTAATTACCTCTATCGACTCAAGGAGATCTTAGGCAGGAAACAGAGGGGAGCTTCTGTATTAAAACAAAACACAAAACTGGACTCCCTCACATGCGAGACTGATAACTGCTTCTATGCAACCTGTGTGGTCACTGGCTCTCAAGGCTGCATCTGGGTTGTGTATCTGTCCCTATCCATGAAGTATGCTACAGTTCCAGAACTTACAGGTTCTCTCCGTTTCCTGAATTCCCACACATGCCTTGCTGGAAGGAGAAGCTCACGTTTGCTTTTTCAGCAAGCATAGTTTTATTGGTATAAACGTGCATGGCTTTTATTCATTTGGCCTCTGTTACTTTTGAGATTCTTTTGTCTCTGACCGGGAAGATTCCTTTGCCTTGACCAATGCCCTGTGTTCTCTTTCCAGGGAAGAGTGATCCTTTTTGCTTGTTGGAGTTAGGCAATGACCGACTTCAGACACACACCATTTACAAAAACCTCAACCCCGAGTGGAACAAAGTTTTTACATTGTAAGTGCTTTAGCCTCCAGATTATCAAGGAGTGGTTTTAACTGAGAGATCAATTATCCTTGATATGTTTGGGGCAGGCTGGGGCTCTTGAGTGGAACTTTCTGTCCATTTTTATGTGCGAAGAATGAATTTTATTGTTTTTTTCCTTCTGAAAACCTTTTATGCTTTCATTTTATAGAGTATAGTGTTAATAATAGAAGAGGCCATTTGGAACTGCAAGGGAGTGATATAGGAGACATTTGTAAAGTAGATCTTTCAGTAACTCAATTAATCTGTGAGTAGATGGAAGCTTTCATATATCTAGACTAATTCATTCCTGGGTTAAAGAAAATTACAAATATGGACCTGCCTTAAATTCAGGTTTATAGGGGCGCCTGGGTGGCTCAGATTGTTAAGCAACTGCCTTCGGCTCAGGTCATGATCTCAGAGTCCTGGGATCGAGCCCCACATCGGGCATCCTGCTCAGCAGGGAGTCTGCTTCTCCCTCTGACCCTCTTCCCTCTCATGCTCTCTATCTCTCATTCTCTCTCTCTCAAATAAATAAATAAAATCTTAAAAAAAATTAAAGTTTATATATTACAACATTATTGTAATGCCTAAAGGCTTGTTTAATGCCAGACGCTTTTGGAAAATACAGATTATCTGTGATTCCTCAAGGAGTCCCAAAGTCTCTTTGTATTTCAGCTTGTATGAATGCCCCGCTCCACAGAGATGCCCTGTCCACTTTTTTCAAACTTAGGCATTTAGGAGGCTGGATATATTTCTTAGTGTGCTTTAGATTCTGAGGTACCTGGCCGTCAAAGGGAGGCACCTGTTGATTTGGGTCAAATGGTGGTTCACTGAAGAAATGCTGTGTTTGTAACTGAAAGAATACATTTTGAATGGAGTTGATGACTTCCAAGTAGAAAGTTCCCAAGGATCGAAATTGAATTAGTAATCAAAAAACTCCCCAACAAACAAAAGTCCAATACCATGTGGTTTCACTACCAAACACTTAAAGAAGAGTTAATACATATTCTTCTCAAACTTTTCCAAAAAATAGAAGAGGAAGGAAAACTCCCAAATTCATCCTATGAGGCCAGCATTACCCTGAGACCAAAACCAGATCCCCACAAAGAAAGAGAACTATAAGCCAGTACCTCTGGTGAACATAGGTGCAGAAATCCTCAACAACATATTAGTGAATGAAACCCAACAATACATTAAAAAATCATGCACCACAATCAAGTGGGGTTTATTCCCAAGATGCAAGGAGGTTCAATATTTGGAAATCAATCAGTGTGATACATCACATCAATAAGAGGATAAAACTCATATGATCATTTCAATAGATGCAGAAAAAACATTTGACAAAATACAACATCCATTCATAGAGGGAACATACTTCAACATAATTAAGGCCTTATATGAAAAACTCACAGCTAGCATCATACTCAGTGGGGAAAAAATGAGAGCTTTTCCCCCAAGGACAGGAACAAGATAAAGATGTCCACTCTCTCAACTTTTATTCAACATAGTACTGGCAGTCCTAGCCATAGCAATCAGACAAGAAAAAGAAAAGGCATCCAAATTAGTAAGGAAGAAGTAAAGCTTTCACTATTTGCAGATGACATAATACAGAAAACCCTAAAGACTCCACCAAAAAGGTAATAGAACTGATAAATGAATTCATTAGGGTTTTGGGATACAAATCATTATACAGAAATTTGTTGCATTCCTATACACTAATAATGAAGCAACAGAAAGAAAAAAATAATCTCATTTATAATTATACCAAGATAATAAAATACTTAGGAACAAACTTAACCAAAGAGGCAAAAGGCCTATGCTCTGAAAACTAAAATACTTACGAAAGAAAGTTCCCAGGATCTATAAGAAGTGTATTAACTCGCCTAAGCAGATTTGCAAATTGCCATATGAAAACGTTCCTTGTTTGCTCAACACATTGCTGGTGACCATGGCTCCATTTTTCATTATAGGTGATGTCTGGTTTCTGGTCAACATAAAAAATGTTTCTAAATATGCATGGGATTTTTAGTATTTTGTGTTTCAATAATAGGAAGCTTTCTATGGATCTCAGCAAATAGTGATTTTGATCACCCTTTTTTTTTTCCAGAGGGAATTCATCATTGTTTTTTTCTTCGTTAATTTAATGTAAAGAAAATCTTATTGCCTATTTGAAATCACTGTCCTTTTACCCTCCTCATTCTGTCTCTTTTTCTTTATCCTCCTGCTTCTTTAATAGTCCTACCCTTGAGTGCATGTATACATGGAAAATGTCATAGTAAAAAAGTTGACTTTTTTTTTTTTTTTTCCATATGGATGTCTGACTCTTCTATGATGGCAGGTTTGGGAATACAGTTCAGTTTGATTTAATTTTTGGAATTTAATTAAATGGTAGTTTTATACTCTAAGGACATAGAGGCTTAATTAGTGAAACTGTGTTTTCAGATCTTCATGGAACAGACTCCACTTGTGTGTTTTTGTATATAATACATGGTACATCTCTTGTTTCAGTCCTATTAAAGATATCCATGATGTTTTGGAAGTGACAGTGTTTGATGAAGATGGAGACAAACCTCCTGATTTTCTTGGAAAAGTTGCCATTCCCTTGCTGTCCGTAAGTTCCTGTAGTTAATACCCAGTTCTTAAGTAATTTTATAGTTGACAAGTTTCTATGGTCTAGAGCTGTTCTATCTTTGTCAATCTGGGGGAAAGATCCGCTCAGCTGTAGCAGGAAACAACTCTTTTATTCCTTACCCTTTTCCAGTATTTTCAGTAGTTTCAGATATAAAGTAACAACTATTTCGTTGAACATTGGTTTGACCAATGAAGACATTTTGACTAGTCTTTCAGTTCATTCTTGATCTTCCCATCTTAAGATGGGAATTTCTGTTTGGTTTCAAGGAATACAGATCTACGACTAATTTTCCGTTTGTTAATGAAAAACATACACGTGTTTCTTTATTACCTCCTTACTACCCGCTCCTTCAAAGATTAATTGCTGGTAACTGCAAAGTTGTTCCTAGCTCTGCTGAAGACCATTTTCTCAAAAGTTCTATTTGTCTTTATAGTAATAGCGTTTGCTTTCAGTCTCAAAACATGCTTTGTGGAAGAGAGCAGAGAGCTTCTCTTGGAAAAAGAGTGCTATTTCGGTAGTCTAGTTAAAAGATAACATACCATAAGCTAAGAGCTGAATGAAAAAATCCCCTATGAAGGCAGAGGAGAAAGCACCACAGAATGCCTTTACATGGCAAAGGAGGGAAGCTGGGATCTGCATCCACCTATTAACTGAACATTAATGTGTGTACCAAATGTACTCTTCCAGAAGAGAGAATTTCAGTTTTTCATTCAACAGCTAATGTTTCGTTGTAGAGATGTCATGGTCTTATCAGTCAATAAGGCTTTATTTACTTCTTCCCAAAGACTTGACTTATTTCTTCAAAGCTATTAGTGCATTTTTGTAGCAGGAGAGGTTGTGCTCTAGCCATGAGATTGGACTAGCTCACGTGATGCTTACAGTGGGAGAAACACTGGATCTCTTGGTATCTCTACGGGTTTTGATCGCCTGGTTAATTTCTCCCGAAGTTCTCTTGTCGCCACTGTTCCTCTAAGAGAAGGGGTGGAGCAGCTGTTCCCTTGTTGATTTGGCTCCTGCCAAATACTCAGAGCTGTCAACGGCAGACCGCACTGACTCTCAGGGAGGAGACGGCAATTTGGGATTTTTCTCCCTTTTTTTTGGTTACAACGTTGTCAGTTACTCCTGAATTAATACATGTAACAGGAGCATGGAATACAATTTTAGAGAGGTCTAAAGGAACAAGAAGCAAAGACCCTCCTTTACAATTCAGTTTCCTTTTTTCCTCAAATATTTTGGGCAGGACAGAGATATTTCTTCTCTTGATATTTTTTAAGATTTATTTATTTATTTTTGAGAGAGAAAGAAAAAGAGAGTGTCTGGGTGGGGGGGGCGAGGGGGGGGAGAGGGAAAGGAGAATCTCAAGCAGACTCCTCACTGGGTGTAGAGCCTGATGTGGTGATTGATCTGATGACCCTGAGATTATGACCTGAGCCAAAATCACGAGTCTGATGCTTAACCAACTGAGCCACCCAGGTGCCCCATCCTCTTGTTTTTATAGATAAATCTGTAGTAACATATTTTATTCCTTGCTGGGTGAACACTCCTTGGTGTCATTTTTAACCTCCCTCTGTTTTATGTATAAAAGTTTTGTGTAATTGGTTTTCTATAATACCAACAAATTGACCCACTTACTTCCCTCCCTTTTTCCCTTATTATGTACAATGTCTCCATGCTGTTGAGTTAGATCTAAGGAATTACCTCTGGCTAGGGGTGCCTGGGTGGCTCAGTCGTTAAGCGTCTCCCTTCGGCTCAGGTCATGATCCCCGGGTCCTGGGATCGAGCCCCGCATAAGGCTCCTTGCTCAGCAGGAAGCCTGCTTCTCCCTCTCCCACTCCCCCCTGCTTGTGTTCCCTCTCTTGCTGTGGCTCTATCAAATAAATAAATAAAATCTTAAAAAAAAAAAGTAATTACCTCTGGCTAAATGAGGTGTGGGGTTTCTCAACCTTACCATGATTGACATTTTTGAATGTCTCATGCTTTGTTGTGGGGGGCTGTCCTGTGCACTGTAGGATGTTTAGCAGATCTCTGACTTCTACCCATTAGATGTCAGGAGGACCCATCCACTCATCACTGTTGTGACAGTCTGCAGACCTTGCCAAGTGTTCTGAGGAGGGGCAGAATCACTTTCAGTGGAGAACCACTGACCTAAGTTAATGCAGTTTTCAAACCATATCTTTCAAGATGCAAGGTAGAATGATTCTATGAAAGACTTCATTTAAATGCAAGGAGCCCCCTGACCCCCTTAACTTTATTCTAGTTGCTGATAAGCCACGCATGATCTATATCTATATATTTGTTTGAAGAATATTTATCGAGTGTCCAGTTTATGCCAGACATTGTTCGTCGTTTTAGGTGGTACTGCTCTAACAATGACCGTGGTGAAGGTATCTTCTCTCTTGGAACTTACATTTTGGTTGTAGGAGTCAGGATACGGAACAGACAAACCCACAAAAAGCAAGGCAGCATGTTAGATGGTGAAAGGTGCCCCATAGAAAGCAAAGCTCCAAGATTATGTCTGGGGAAGGGGTGCAGTTATGGGCTGGCCAGGTAGGACCTCACTTCGGGGGGCATTTGAATGAGAACTTGAGGTGAGAAAGAAAACCCTGTGGATATCTGGGGAAACTCTTCCAGGCAGGTAAACTTCTAAGTTCCAAGGCTCTAAGGCAGTGCCCTGACTGTCCCAGAAATATTGGGGTGGACAGTGTGGATGGAATGGAGTCGCCTGTGGGAGAATCACAAATGCAGAAGACAGGACACAGGGCCAGAGCGCCGTGGGAGAGGGGTAAGACTCTGACGGCCTGCAAGTTTGAAGGACTTTGGCTCACTCTTAGCATCGATGGGAAGCCACAGGGAAGTTTTGAGGCAGGGAGTTCCTGATTTCGTTTACATTCTCTGTTTCTAACATTAAAGGGCTGTGGCACACAAAGAAATAAACCCAGATCTGACAGTTCTCTACCACATGAAGTGTGAAGGCAGCGTGGCCTGAGCCACATTCTCATGAGGGGCTTAGGGGGCCTGGAATGTTGAGCTGAAGCTGTTACAGCGGCTGTTCTTCAGTGTGGCTGTTTCAATTCAGGCTCGCTTCCGATTGTTTGACTGACACATGGGGCAAGTGATCAGATCTTGCAGAGGATCTATTTTGGCCCTTCCTGGTGTTCAGTGGTCCACCTACTACACGCACTCTCCAAATAAATTCATTCTCTACCTCAAATACAGATAGAAATACGATAGAAAAAAAATGCCATAACCCTCAGTATCCATAACAGGCAGATTTTCAGTTGTTCATTAGTTCACTGGTCATTCCATTTTTGAGTAATTCTAACTTGTGATTTAGAGAGTATGTTTTCACATTTATTTAGATCAATTTTTTTCTTTATTTAGTATCTATTGCATCATGCTTAACTAACCAGCCCTGTGCGGTGCATGCATCATGTGTGAAATCATTCTCTAAAAACCTAATTCGGCATGCTTTATTATCATGGCTGTTTGCAAAAGAGGAAACTGAAGTACACGAGGATCCTGCTGCTGGGACGTAGTAGAGGCTGGATTTGAAGTAGGCAGTCTCATGCCCGAGCCTGGCCTCCTAAGAGGATGCTCTCCTGCCATGGTGAGCCCCTGTACTAGATATGAGGCCAAAAGCAAGAACCAAGATGTGCTTCATGCTACCACTGGTCTCAGTGCAATAGAGTGTGGACAGGTAGGGCACAGAGTCAAAGACTTGCATCTTGGATGATGCCTGTGTAATGAACCCAGAAGACCTGAAATGCTTTTTTTCTCTATTGCAATATAGATGACATAGAATGTCACATGAGTATACAATACAGTGACGCAACAAGTCTACCACCTGTCACCAGACAACACTGTTACAAGACCATTGACTATAATCCTTATGCTGTGCCTTTCATCCCCATGATTTACTCCTTCTATAATCGGAAGCGGTGACCTCCCACTCCCTTCATCCATTTTGCCCATCCCCATTCCTCTTCCCTCTGGAGATCACCAGTTTGTTCTCTGTGCTTATGCAAGATCTAAAATATTAAGTGCTAAATAAAAGGAACAAGAAAACATAGAGCAGGAGGAGTGGATTTAATTTTAGGAAGACTTTATGAAGTGGGGAGTTGGAGCTGGCCGAGAAGGAGCCTGATGTTGATCATGACTGGTGGGTGAGGTAAAGAAAGGCCATTCCAAGCAGAGGGGAGAGCAGGAGTGGAGAAGCCGGGGGTAAGAGAAAGGCCACTTCCTGGAAACAGAGGGGCCTACGGGGCCTGGTGCTCAGGGCAAGAGGGGAGGCTGGCGAGGGAGGACTGAGGGCCGCTCAAGAAGGGTTGAGGGAGGTTGGGGCTTATTCTGTTAGCACGGAGAACCTGCAGGCTTTCAGCCTGGGGATGGAGATATCAGAGCAGTTGACTAGGAAGAAAGTTTTGGCTCCAGTATGAAGCAAGTTAGAGAGGAAGGGAGATTTTTCCTGGAGGGATTGGTTGAAACTCCAGAAATAAGCGTCAAAGAGAGAATGCTTATATTTTATATTTTGTGCCTCTTAGGAGAAGGTCTTATTTCTCTGCTTTTTTAATATGAGAGAGAATTATAAAAATGGAATAGTTGGTGCTCCACTGTTACCTTTATAGGATATGAAGTAGTCTTCAATAATGCCTTCTTTTCTATTTAAAAACAAAAATTGTATTTCTTGGAGAAGAGTATGAATTTTTTTTTTTTGTGAGAATACATTTTCTTTAATCAAGTCATAAACTGAAACTTGATTTACACTTTCAGAGAAAATGCAAACTACATTTCAAAATGTCTAAGTATAAAGTATTGAATGTACTTCAACTTTTAATCTCTCTCAAAATGATAATGTGCTAAGTGCGTTTCAGCCTGTTAAATAAAAAGCCTGTTCTGAATTTACTGTATCTTTTAATCAGGGTGAATGTGCTGGCTGACTATTGGCTTATTTAAAATCCATGTTCTAAAATCAGTATATC